CTGAGGACACACCGTGCACAGTGGCGGACCACACGACACGGCCTGGGCTTCAGATTGTCACCGCCCATGCGAACCCGCATGGGACGCTGGTGCGTTATCTCAACACGGCGGACGCGGACATAGTGCTTGCCCAGGAGACACACGCGACCGACACCAAGCTCCCAGAGGTGCAGGCCGATGCTCTGGATATGGGCTGGCGGGGACAATGGCTGGCGGCTGCCCCCACCCTAGATGGGGGCTCGGAGGGTGGAGTGGCAGTTCTCGCGCGCACGAGCATCCAGGTAACTTCAGCACCTTTTCTCATGGCAGGGGAAATTGTTCCAGGGCGTGCTGTTGCTGGAGTGGTGCATGCAGGACCCGCTGGCGGACTGGTTTGCGTTTCATTGTATCTGTTCACTGGTGAGGGCCGCACGCCACGGAACCTCGCCATCGTCTGGGAGGTCTGTAAATATGTCAAGAGGGTGTCTGATGCAGGGTACCCGTGGCTCATTGCTGGAGACTATAACATGACGCCCGACGAGTTGTTAGAGCACACCTGGCTGCACTTGGTGAAGGGAGTGTGTTGTGCTCCGTCCGGTCCCACCTGCGTGTAAACCCTTCCTGGGCGAGTGCTGGACTATTTCATCCTCCATCGGTCCCTCACGGATGCGACGGCTTTCTCCCTGGACGTGCTGGTGGATACGAGTCTTTGGCCTCGCCAGCCAGTCCTGCTACAGCTGCCCCATGCCAAGCTAGCATTGCAGAAGCGAGTCCTGAAGCAGCCGAAGGCGCCTTTATTCCCCTCAAGCCTGGATGTGCTCGCTACCCATGGTGTTGGGAGAAGGTCATCTCTGATGTACAGCAGGTGCAGAGCGATAGGCAGTTGGCCGCAGTCTGGGACCTCATGCTCGATGGCATTGAATGGGAGCTCGCCAATCGACATGACCTTGTGGGTCGACAGAGAGCTGCTCACCTCGGGCGTGCGGGGCACCCTGTGTTGCGTCACCTACCAGTTGCCTGGGCACCTGCACGTCGGCGCGAGCGTTTTGGCAGGACCGCTTCTGCTTGGGCGGTAGCCGCGAGGTGGGCGAGGCACCTCAAGTCCGTCCGTCAGGTCTTGCTGCGGGACAGCGGTGTGCTGAATGCCGCGGCAGGGACTGCCGGGGCCGACCCCAAGTTGCTACAGCGAGTGGGCCAACTCTTGCATGAGGCAGAGGTGTGCACTCGCAAGCCCCTGCGGCAACACCATCTTCTGGATTTACTTGATGACGAGGCGCGTGTTTTCTTCGCCGCTGGTTTGGAAGGGCTGGCGCTCGACACCTTTGAGGAGCAGGTGGACCGCATCAGTGCGACAAGCGACGTGCACAGCAATGCAGCAGAGGCGAAGGCCACGGCGGCTTGGCAAGAGTGGGCGAAGGCCTCCTTTCAAGGAGGGGCAGGGCTCGCCCACAGGTTCACTAAGGTGAAGATGGAAGTGGAAGTGCCCACTGCTGGCAGTTCGTGCCAGCCCGCTGCCCTGGCCGATGCTGAGCTTGACGTGTGGGCATGTATTTGGCAGCATCACCAGCTCCGTGAGGTCGACCTCCCCGCAGGCGCCGAGAACTGGGATGACCTCGAGGCCGTCACGGTGGCCAAGCTGCGCGAGGTGCTGTACACCTTCCCTGTCAAGTCGGCAGTGGGGCAGACTGGCCTTCACCCCAGGCAGCTGGACCAGTTGTCCGACATGGCCCTGCTCGCAGTCTCGTTGGTCTTCACTCTCTGCGAGCAAAGGCTGCAGTGGCCTCTTGACAGGCTGGCTACGATCCTCGTCCGCTTGCCTAAGCCCAGCGGGGGAACCCGACTGATTGGCCTGCTGAACTCTCTGCTGCGTGTTTGGAGCCGCGCGAGACGCCCGATTTCCGCGGACTGGAGCAAGACACATCGGAGTGCGCACAGCTGGGGCTCGGGGGCGGGCCGAAGCTCATCGGCATCTGCTTTCTGTTTGGCGCTGAATAACGAGATCGATGTGGCTCACGGGAAGAAAACGCTCACGCTGCTGATCGACATTTGGAAATGTTTTGAGCTTATCGACCCCCGCGTCCTGCTGCGAGAGGCCGCAGTAGTCGGCTACCCGTTGAGGATGGCCTGGATGCTCACCCAGGCCTATCGGCAGCCACGCACTCTGCGGGCGCACGGCAGCGAGTCGAAGTTCTTTGTTTCCAAGCAGGGCATCGTGGCAGGATGCTCACATGCGACGACAGTGCTGGAGCTCCTCCTCTATAGGTCCATGTGTAGGCTCTCGGCGATCTGCCCCCAATGTGACGCCGCGCCAGCTGGTGGACGACACGTCGCTGCGATGGAGTGGAGCTGAGGCGCAGCGTGCAGAGGAGGTGGCCTTTGCTGCCGACGAAGCACAGGAGGCGCTCACTGACCTTCGATTGCCAGTGCAGGTGAAGAAGCTGGGCTATGTCGCCTCGGACGCGGCCGCGGAGCACGCGGTGCAGCGGGTCACTCAGCAGCGCCACATCGCACGCCAGCGTTGGATGCGGAACCTAGGGCACGAGCTCACGACGGTGCGGCCTTTGCGGCTGCAGGAGCAGGCGCGGATGCACGCGCTGCGTACTCGTGTGCGACGGCTTCATATCCTCAAACGTGCTGTTGGGGTTCGACGGATGGTACGGATCCAGAGCACAGGCCTCGCACCCTCTGTGCTTCACGGTGCGGCTGTCATGGGTGTGGCTGAGCATGTTCTGAAGCCCGTGCGCACGCTTGCGGGTGCCTTAGCAGGTGTGAAGGCGGCGGCTTCTTTGACGACGGGCCTGGTGATGCAGCGTAACCCTCGATATGATCCCATCATTGCTGCCACTCTGGAGCTGCCCTGCCTCTACGCGTCGTGGCTGTGGGAGGCGAAGGTGTCCATCACGCAGCTCCAGCACGCCTGGGAGGTGATGGTGACTCGTATGCAGAAGGCCCAGGCATGGTCCAAAGTCACGGGCCCGCTCTCGGCACTGTGGATGACGCTTAGACGGGTTGGCTGGTCTATGCAATCGGCACATGAAGTTATCACCGACGAGAATGTGTACTTCTCTTTATTGGCGGTGGCACCTCGTGATTTCCGAGACTTGCTGGAAGCTGGAGTACAACGGTGGCAGATGCGGCGTGTACAGCAGCATCTCCCAGGCTATGATGGCGAGATCCTCTGATATCGGGCAGTTCGTGCGTGCATGCATGGGCCTCGAGCTGTGCGAGACTCGGCGGAGTTGGGAGCTCGGCAGTGCCTGTGGACAGGCGCCATGTGGCCACGTGAGAGAAAGTTCTGCCATGGCGTTGTTTCGTCGCCTAATTGTCTCGCTTGTTCGGCCAAGAAACCCGAGACTCTCGGGCATCGTTGGCTAGACTGCCCCGCGTTGCTTGAAGGCACCGTTGCGGACCCGCTGGATGAGGACACGCGTGAGCACAAGCGCAGGGTCGCCACGCGTGAGATGATGCGCAAGGAGGTGCTTGAGTCCGCGGGTCCCACGTTCTTTGATTCGGTCCAGCACGCTTTCGCGTTGCCGCTGGTCCCACCTAGCTCTGAGAAGCCCGACAAAACTCCCGAGCAGTTTTTTGAATGGGGTGATCCTGGGGTTCCCTGGGAAGGCACGGTCTACGCGGATGAGGCTGGCCAGGATATGCAAGCTCCCGAGGTTGCGCGGTGTGCCTGGGCGATTGTCCAGTTGTATTCCCAGGGCCGCCCGTCCGAGGCCAGGTTTGGAAGCCTCTCAGGGATCCAGTCGGTGCCCAGAGCTGCCAGGTATGCAGGATACCAGGCCATTCTCGCTTCGCGGTGTGTAACTCGAATCGTAAGCGATCACCTTTCCCTGGTCCAAGAGGGCGAGCGTTGGAGCGAGAGCGAGGTGTCGGCCGCTGCTCGCCACGCCGAGATTTGGCGAGCCATAAGAGCCACGGTGGAGCGGCAGGCCCGCCCCACGCCCCGCTTTGCCTGGACCCCGTCTCACAAAACGGCTGAAGAGGCGCTCAGTCGTGGGGTGGGGGCGATGGCTTGGTTGGGGAACGCGTGGGCGGATTTCTTTGCCACAGTAGCGTTGCATGTTGGCACGATCAGCCCTAATTTCGGTAAAGGCCTGGAGCTGCGCCTCGCCATCGTGCCAGGTTCGTGGCTTGGGCTGGCAAGCGAGTGCTGAGCTCAGGACGGTGGGATGGCCCCAAGGACGAGCCCCGTGCCCGCAAGCCCCCGCCAAAGCCGCCCAGCCTTGCCATTGTTTCTCATGATCTGGCGCCTGATGGACAGGGTTTCAAATGCAGGAACTGTAACAGAGCAGGGCTTTCGGAAGAAACGATCCGCGGTCTGCTGGCCCGCCCCTGTCGGCCTTCCACCCTGCTCCGTGTCCGAGCTGCGGCCCTTTTGGCGGTGCACAGCCCATCCAGAGCCGAGGGGAGCACTGCTCCCCCCTCGGCTCAGCCTGCCCTTGCCCTGGGTCTGGCGGCCGCGGCAGCTTGTGCTGCGACGGCGCGTCGCGACGACTCCAGCGCTTCGCAGGGATGGCCCGAGCAAGGGCGTGAAGATAGCAGGTCTCCCCGACGTGAGGGGCATGCCGCCCCTGCTGTGCGCTCGACCACGGCGAGAGATGGAGGCGGTGGGGGCCCGTCGTTGTCGTCGTCGGAGAGGCGGAGGATGGATTCGACCGAGGAGCGGCGAGCCGCGCGCACGGCTCGCCTCCTCAGAGCTGCGGAAGGCACACCTGCTACTCTTGCATCTGTCGCTTCGCCTCCCACTCCTGCGCCACCCACGGGAGGATTGCTGGAGGCCCCCGTGGAGGAGCAGGATGCGGGAGCTAGGAGGGCGGGAGATCGTGAGATGCGAACTCGCGCGGTGCGCCCTGCCGCTGGCCCCTCGCCTGTGACGGCGCCTGGAGCGGCGCAGCCTGCGGCCGCTGCCCCCGCTGCCCTGCGGATGCAGGGCCGGGACTCCCGAGCTGCCGCCGCCGCTGCTATCGCCGTGGGGGCGGGAGGTCGGGGGGAGCGTGGCGAGGAGGTCTCGAGTGTGCTTGGACACGAGATCCTCCAGCGACCGCCTTTCACGGTGTGTCAGAGATGTGGAGCGTATGCCAAGCGACAGGGGCGGCTGTTGGGGGCCCCCTGCCTTGGCGTCCTCCCCGCACCTGCGCTGCGTGCCAACCCCGCGGAGCGGGAACGGGCCAAGCGCCGTGACCGACTGGTGGCGAAGCTCCACCCTGTGACGGGGGCCCCCCTCGCTCCTGGTCCGGGTTAGGCCCCAGGTCCTTTCTGGTCTCTGGCGTGGCCCTGCAGGCTGTGCCTGCCTTCTTGACGGCCTGGCGACCGCCTCTGCGCTCTGGCCCCTTTTTGGGCCTCTAGAGTTGCCCTGCAGGCGCGGCCTGCCCTTGCGCGCGGTCTGGGGACCGTGAACTGTGCCCTGGAGCCTTGAGAGGCCCCAAGTGCCCTCGGCCCTAGTGGCCCGTCACAAGTACAGGGCTGTGTTCGACCACGGACGCGGTCTCTTTGACGAGCGACACACACACGCACGCACGCACGCACGCACGCACGCACACGCACACACGCACGCACGCACGCACGCACACACGCACGCACGCACGCACGCACGCACGCACACACGCACGCACGCACGCACACACCACACACACACACACACACACCACACACGCACGCACGCACGCACGCACGCACGCACGCACGCACGCACGCACGCACGCGCACGCACACACGCACGCACACGCACACGCACAACACACACACACACACACACACACACACACACACACACACACACACACACACACACGCGCACGCACGCACGCACGCGCGCGCACGCACGCACGCACGCACGCACGCACGCACGCACGCACGCACGCACGCACGCACGCACGCACGCACGCACGCACGCACGCACGCACGCACGCACGCACGCACACACACACACACACACACACACACACACACACACACACACACGCACGCACACACGCACACACACACACACGCACACACGCACGCACGCACGCACGCACGCACGCACACACACACGCACACACCACAGATATACAGGCACCCTCACACACACAGACATTCTCACACATAGCACACACACACACATAGAGGCACAAACAGAGACAACATGAGGTTGCCATCTTGGTCGCGGTGGTGTCGTAGGAGGAGGCGGGCAGAGCCGAGGAACGATTGTATGCTGTCTGCCACTGCCGTTGCCAGACGGGTATTGGCGGGAGCAGCGCCATCCTGACGCATCCAGCGCACAGGTCGGAGGCCGCCAGGGGTGGTCCTGGCCTGAGGCGCCCCTGGATCTCCGCGCCGCTCTGGGCCCCCCCTGGGGCCCAGCGGGCTCGTCTGGGCCTTCTGGGTGAAGCGGGGGCCGCCCGGGGCCGGGGCCACCTCCTGCAGCACCCGGGCACTGTGGGCCGAGGCGCGCGCTGCCCACAGGCGCACCGTGCTCATGGGGCTGATGTGCCGACCGCGCGACTGCGCCTTGCCGTCGCTTCCGGCCGAGATCTGGGCGACGGGGGACGGGAGTCTCTCAGTGTTTCGAGCAATGCTAAGTCGGGCACGTCCCCCTACCCTCCTTGAACTTACGTCGGGCATGTCCCTCTACAGAAGGAATGTTCAAAAACAGTCGAGTAACAATCGGGGGACGATGTCTGGACGATGGTTTTACAATTCTGGAATATGTTTTTTGCTACTTTTTCATTTTTCGTCCACAATCCCCCTGTGGGAGGATATGCCCGACCTAACCTTGAACCTCCTCTGCCGTCTCGCGTGATCTCCGGCACCGGCGCGAACCTTCTGGTCGGTGGTGGAGGTCATTGCGGCGGTCGCGGCGGCCGCACATCGGAGCAAGGTTTCGGTCTAGGAGGTGATCGTTTGTCTATCCATTGTTTTGCCGATTGGCGCCGGTCCTCGCACCACCCCCCGCCTCTCCCCCCCCGTGGAGTAGATCTTGGTTGTTTTTGGCGTATGTTTCGAGCAGGTGGGGTCTCTCCCATAGGACGCACGGTTCGAAACAGTCGCATTAAGCAGAAGTCCGGAGCCAGACCCCCCCCCCCTCTCCCCATTTTCCGCCCAATGTCGAAACGCCAAATTAAATTATCCCGGCAAAGCAGCCTGACAGCGATGTGTATAAGCATATTTGGAAGCATTCCCCTTAATTAAGATTCAGGTCAGAATCCAGTTGTAGAAGTTTGCTGTTCTCGCAGTCGCAGTCGCAGTCGCAATGACAGTCGCAGTGGCAACGGCCTTAGGATCCAATGGAGTCCTAAGGATTCCTAGGGATTCCTAAGGCATCCTTAGGCATCCTTAGGAATCCATAGGAATCCTTAGGAATCCTTAGGAGTCCTGATTCCTAGGGATTCCTAGGGGTTCCTGAGGATTCCTAGGGAATCCTAACGATTCGGAAGGATTCGCCTGCCTCGACCTCAGTCTCAGCCTGCCTCAGCCTCAGCCTGCCTCAGCCTCAGCCTCAGCCTGTCTCAACCTCAGCCTGCCTTAGCATCA